ATCCCCATAGAGCTCGTCTGTGGAAAGAAGCATGGAGTGCTCCAAAATCTCCTGGTAGACGGCTAAGTTGCATTAGTGAAATAAATGAACTTTTGCACGATATTCTAATTTTTCGAGTTTCACCTGTATATTGTTTGAACTCATCATTGTACGTCACTTGCTGTTTATTGTACATTGTTTATGCAATTCATCGACAACAAAATCTATGAAGGTGCTTTCTGGTTAATAAAATACTGTATAGAAATTGTGATAACAAGGCATTCCTTATACATGCCATGTTAGTGTCTGTGCATTTGTGCTGTATCATTGGAATGTTTTAGATCAAAGTATAACAAAAGGCAAAACTTTTTAGATTTTGCTGGAATCTTAAGGGATTCGAACCAGGTTTTTAGCGCTCTTTGTGTCCTTATTATTGTCCTGATCACCAATGTCACCGGCAAAGAAAGTCAGAGAAAATCCAAAATTTGGAGTTGCCACCAGAGCAGGAATAAAAGACGAAAACGTCCTGTGATAACTATCTAAGAGGGGATTTCCTTCACGTTGGAAAGATATCCTATCACTTCCTGCTGAGTCTACGGGACAGGAAGCAGAGGGAAATCTCCCTAATGAGATACAGATGACAAAAAAGTTGACAGCATTTTTAATCCTCCCCTACACTATCCAAAATGAAAAACAATTGACTTTAATACATATAAAACCTAAAGGGCCAGCAGACAAAAATTACCAATTCAATTAGTTCATATAAACAATGCTGTTAAAAACATTCAATGATAATAACTTCATTATTTTATCAGAAATAGACTTGAAGCAGGAGTCTAGGAAGCGTCTTGATTCAGAATTTGAGGAGGTAGGTATAATTTGTAAGTAAAACATTGCCTGGGCAAAAGAATTTTACAATCTGCATTTAGCTAAGCAAATAGGTCAGAGTCTTCTGTTGTATAATATGTCTAGAATCAGCAACATTATCATCCCAAAAAATGCCTCAAGGTTTTTCCATTAATGGATTTCTTCTTCCCTGATGGCACATTGGGAATATTCCAATATGACAATGAAAGGATTCATCAGACTCATATTTGAAAGAGTGGTTCAGGGAGCATGAGAAATAATTTTCACACATTTCACACATGGATTAACAGAGTCCAGACCTTAACCCCATTGAGAATCTTTAAGATGTGCTGGAAAAGACTTTACACAGTGGTCTGACTCTCCCATCATCACTACAAGATCTTGGTGAAAAATGTATGCAACTCTGGACAGAAATAAATGTGACATTGCATAAGCTTATTGAAGCCATACCACAGCGATTGCATGCTGTATTTATAGCTAAAGGTGGTTCAACAAAATATTAGAGTGTGTGATTTTTTTGGGCCAGGAAGTGTATTTACCTCTGTGATATTCTTCACTAGATAAGCTGAAGCAAAATCTTGGCTTGGCACAAAGTTAACCTATTGCACACACACTGCTCCCTGAGCTCTGCAGTATGCTTGGAAGCCAGAAAGTCCCCACAGACTGTCTATGGCACTGACTCCTTCAATTCAAAGAGTGTACAGTATTACATAGGGATTGTCAGCCTTAGGGTGCTTCACACCAAAAAACTGCAATGAACGCCTGCAGGTGTGTGCTGACAGGTACAGTGCTGATGCAATGATCCCAGTGCGTTGCACTGTTTACTTTTTTCTTTTTAGAACTTTATTGAAATGTCATGAGTGACATGTCAGGGCACGGTGCACTGTGTTTTTACCACGTTGCACCTTGAAAAAGTTGTGTGAACTGAACCAATTGAAACCAAGGGAAACTGCCTGGTCTGTGTGTTGGGGCAACACTGGAAAAAGCCACCCGTATAGCCCCAACTTATCTGGTGTGAACGGCCCTTATGGCAATGGGTGTCCAGGAGAGCAGCTTACACATTCCACCTATCTCCCCAAATGCTTCAGTTAGATGATACCTGCAGTTTGTTCTAAAAATGGTGGTGGTTATAATGATGTCCATCAGCTGATATCTATCCAGTATTAACACTGCAATTGAAGCCCATAGAACCACTGTCAACATTGTTTTACAGCTCTGGATCCTGTGTTTAAAGCCCTTCTAGGAAAATGTCTACATGGAGTTTATATATTCTCCCCATGTTGGAATATATGTCCTCTCACAATCTCAAAATATACTGGTAGGTAAATTCTCTTCCACCCAAAACTGTCACTAAAGTGTGGTAGGAATATTTGAATGTAAGCTTCTTTGGGTGGGAAATGGACTGATGTGAAAGCTTCAATGTTCTGCGTAACGCTCTAAATGTGATAATTTGATCTATATCATTGCTGGATACCGTAAATCAATTTTATCTTTATTTTTAGCTGTCAGTCAACATAGAACAGGCTGCACAGAAACGTAACATAATGTCAAAGATCTTATTTTGTTTAGTCCAGGATAGAGTGGGGAAGAATTAGAGTCTCTGTTACGTTTTTATTACTGTCCTTGTGAATGACCCATTGGCAAGATTCAACACTCATACTGTTGACTATAGAGACCAAGAAAGGGGAAATCCAAAAATTAGGAGTTGTCCCCAGAACAAGGGGTAAGGGGAAATCATCCAACAGGGACAACTGTTCCAGGGACAATTGTCTAAGTGTGCCGTTCCTCCCACATTGGGAGATTGCCTCTAACTTCCTGTTGCATCCCTGGGACAGGAAGTGACGTTTCCCCAAAGGTACACATAGACAGCAAAAAAATTGGAAAGGGTTTTAATCCTCCCATACTTTATTTAAAATTAAAAGAAATGGCTATAAATACATGTGAATGTTCTTAAAATGGCCTTTTACAATATGCAGTCATCTGATTTTCAAAAATTCCCAAAATGTGTTCATGTTTCTCTTTCAACCATCGCAACAGTACTTTGTGTGCCAGGCTTTCCAGGTATCCCATCTACCTGCTTATGTCTCACTGGCTTTAACAGAAGTCTGCATAGGTCTTACAGTCACATTATATTCACCCCTTTTCATCTTAAATCCCTAAACTGTTTTGATGTGTCTGGTATGTGCAGGCTTCAAACTGTGAGCTTTTTTCTATTTTGTGCAGCAGATTCAAAGCTTTATGTAACTTGCGCCTGCCGCTCCCTTCATGGTTCCCAGGCTCCCCTGTGCTCCTCCCAGGAGCCTGGGAGCACAGAAACGGTGTCAGGATACTGAGCAGGAGGACAGGGAGGAACATCCATTCTCTAATGTATTCTACAGAGTGTGAACCTGGAAGTGGTCACCTGAGCATTTCCAGGTTCAGAGCTGTCAATATCCTTTCTGAAAAGCCAAGTAAACAGCACTGTCCTGCAGCAGGGGAGGCATTAGGTACTGAACAGATTCCTGTTGTCTCCATAAAAAGAACCTGTTACCAGTCAAATGCTATCACATGGCATTGTTAAGCCTCTTGTGATAGTAATAACATTAAGTGAAAAAATAAAAAAAGTGTTACAAAATGGGTGTTATGGTGAACTCTAAACTGATTATTAGTAATGGCTTTTAAAACGTTCCCAAATTCTAATTCTGGGTAAAGTGATTTTTTGCCATTTTGCGGGTGCTAATAGTTTGGAGAATTGGCATATTTGGCATCTCTTTACCAGACACAAAACTCATCTTTTATTTCGTACAAAAAATGGGGATTTGCAAATTGTGTTTGTGTGCACTAAAATTATTTTTAGTGTATTTTTTCCTGAAAATATAGATTTGATATACAGTTGTGCAAATATTGTGCGACATAAAAAAATTACAACTACCATCTTTGTATTCTACAGTGCCTCTGCTTTCAGAAAACATATTCGTTTGAGGGTTTTAAGCAATTTTCTAGCCAAAATGCAGTTTATCGTTTGAGCAGAAAATGAAAAAGGCAAAGTGGTTAATGAGGGAACATGAAAAGGGATGCTTGTGTTTTTTTTGTTTACATAACTGAGACATATCATGTGACTATAACTAAGGCAGAGCCTCCCATGCCAAACACTTACATGCACATAATGTAATTTATTGGGCATATAGTGCAATTAGGACATTTACTGGCACATTTGTTGGAGAGCTGCAGAAGTAGGACTGGTCATCACTTGCGCTATGCAATATAATTAGGTAGGTAGGTAGTGCCAGGGGGAGTAATTATTGAGTGATATATGTCCTAATACTTAAGAGTTTAAATGACTCCTCAAGTTTATTCATGGTGCAGGTCAATGAAGAGAGCTGGCTCTGTAGCTCTCCTCCAACCTTGTTAATACTATACTGGCCCTATGTATCCATTAAAGTATAAAAACCAACCACTAAAAATCGCTACAAAGAGAGACTTTTACCCTTTACCCTCATTCACACGGGTAACGGCTGGCCCATACAGATCCATGCTGCGTGCACAGCCGTATCGGGCAGCTCCCGTGAAGGACAGGTGCTGTGTGTGATTACATGCAGCAGCCTCTCCTTCTCTATGGGAGTATGCGGCCGCCCGCCACCCTACGGAACTGCACGTCCGTGCGGGTGTCCATACACGTACGCTTACAGGATGGATCCTGTCTGTGTCCGAGCAGGGACACCCGCACCCATACGAACGTGCAGTTCGGGTGAGCGTAGGGCGGCGTACGGCCGCGTACTCCCATAGAGAAGAACAGGCTGCTGCGTAAAAATCACACGCAGCACCTGCCCTTCCTGGAAGCGGCCCAATCCGGCCGTGCACGCAGCACAGATCTGTACCGGCCGGCCGTTACTTGTGTGAATGAGGGCTAAAAGAGGATTTTCCATTTTTCTGGTACTGTAGGGGCTGGGTTGAGATGGATCACACAATTGGCTGGAATTAACATATATTGCAATATATGTGAATTAAGAAACCTTGCTTTTAAGCAAAGTTTTCTAGAATGTATTTGTATGCCTGGGACTTGGTTGAATCTTTAATATTATTTTAGATGATAAATTATTGGGATATGTATCTTGTGTAAGTGGCATTAATATTTTCTTAACGTAAGCCCCATAAACATATGGCCCCATAATGTAAAACATAAGTTTTGAATACTATTATTCATACCATCAACATGATATAATATGAAATGAAAACTTTTGCTAGTAGAATATCCTCTATGAAGTTCATTACTTTTATAAAATTGTAAAATGAAACACTACTCACTTCGTTTTCTAGCTAGAGTGTAGATACTATATGCATATCAAGGTTATAATTGAATATTTGCTCATGTCATACTTCGTGTGTAGAAAGAGAACTACACCTTCCATGTCTCAGGTCACCCATAGTAACTATTTTGATAAGCAGTCACATGCATTGAACAGAGTAGAACCAACTTGTGCATTTCAGTGCACCCCATGAAAAGAACTGCCAGAAGGCCATGCTAAGGAATCTTTCCTATAAGAAAAAGATTGATGTAGCTGGTTCATGAAATGGCAGAGACCCAGACCCAAACATGGAGTTGGCAGACTCAAGAGGCTCCTTCTTCCTGTTTGGATTCTGCTGTTGTCCTTTCTTCATGGCCGCTCTCTTGAACCGGAGATGGGTTTCGGCTTGCCTTATTGCTGTCGTGGCTGCTGTGGCTGCCGGCACTTCCCAAACGAGTTGAGGCTACTACAGCTTTAACAGCCGCCTGAAATACAAGTTCATAGGTTTAATCCACATGAGAGTTTGGGAACTTGAAAGCAATAAGTGGTCTTTTAAAAAGAAAAATGTAGCTATACATGTAAATATCATCTGCTGAATATAAATAATCTTGCGAATATACGTTAAAGTGTATGTAGACCCCCAAAAAATGAAATCTTTACTGGTCGTTACATATTGTGGATTCATTAGTTTTTTTCCCCACCTAATGATCCTGCCAAGAAACACACTTCCTGTCCTATCCTTCCTGTCCTCCCTGTTCCTGCCCTAGGGTGAGGATGCTTGCTCAGTGTACTGTATCTATGAAGAAGCAGCACCCTAAGAGAGTATGCTAGGATTTCAGAACACCTACTCCTTACCTTATCTCCATGGAGGGGAGGTGTTCATTAGTCCACAGAGATTGCTGGGAATATTGTAACTAATGATATTGCAGCAGAAGCAAAGAATACAGGGAGTTATTGGCTTCCATGTTTTCTGGTAGGATCAACAGGTATTTCTTTGCACTTACCAAATAAACAGACCTTTTCTTCACTATATTAAAATTGATTTTGTTGGTTGATTAGCCATTGAAGAGATTTCTCATCACTTCCTGTCCTGACATGATGTAAGTGGAAATCTCTTTTGCAGTGACAGATTCAGCAATAACCTTTTCCTACTATATGCAAAATTAGATAAAATGTTTTGGATGGAGTTGAGTTATAATGTTTTTAGAAAACACATTTCCATGTATAGTTTGTAATTATGTATGTACATGACAGCAGTCATAGCTGCATACCTCCCAACTGTCCCTGATTTAGAACCAATTCACTCTGTCCCTTTTTCTTCCTCAGTTGTCTGCCTGATGTGCTGATATACATTGTCCACTCTCAGAATACATTTGCTAGCCTGGGGTGGGAGGAGGTTGCAATGTATTCCCCCTTTCTCTCAGTTTAGACTGGATGGGGGCATCTTGCAGCACCGTAGCTACTATGAGGTGAGTGAGAAACTCGCCTCAGGCCGGCCCTAGCCCCTGTTGCCATGGCGAGCACAGGGCACCATGGCAACAGGAGTGCCAGGCCGCCAACATAGCCGTGGCTCGTCAAGGAGAAGAGAGGTGGCACGGGCTCCAGCTTCTCCTCGGCACTCCCCTACCTGGAACCGGCATTGCAACCGGCGGGGGTGGGGTTAGAGGAGAAATCTGTCACTTCAGAATGGCCAGAGCGGTGAGGAGAGAGAGAGACACTCGGCCAGTATCTGACAACCGGGGGCTCTTTCTTTCCTCAACACTGGGCCATCCTGAAGTGACAGCTCTCTCCTCCGCTCCCACCTCCCATGTCGGCTGCAGTGCTCCTTCCTCGGCACCCCTTCTCCCCTCGCTGGCTTCAGCGCTCAGGATGGAGAGCGGAGGATCGGTAAATATCAGTGATATTTACCGATCCTCTATGCAGCGCAAACACTGGAGTGATCAGCTGATCACTCCAGTGTTTGGTGTTTGTAAATAACTGGGGACACATAGTACTATGTGTCCCTGTTATGAATGAACAGGAAGTTCTTTACATCACTTCCTGTTCATTCATGTGTTTCTCAATAGGTAGAAGCACTCACTATAGAGGCTTCTACCCATTCATAACTGGATGATAGTAAATATTTTACTATCAGCAGTTTGTGAATGAATGAGAAGCCTCTGTACTGAGTGCTTTCCATTCATCTAGAACAGAGGTTGCAGTAAAAGGGATTGAGGACTCTGTGTCCTCAGTTTCTTTTTCTATTTCAAAAGGGAAATGTCAGGGGTTCCATGATGTTTCCCCGAAGCCCCCCCAACAGTAAAAAAAATAAAAAATAAATAAAAAACAAAAAAATAAATAAAACAAAATAATTACAAAAAACACATCCTGGAGGCAGGGAGCATAACTTCACATGAGGCCGTGGGTGATGTCACATGCCTGTTGGGGGGGCACAATTTTTTGTTCTTGCCTTGGGAGCAAAAAGAGCTAGCTACGGCTCTAGCATTTGGTGTTTTTTTCTGGACAGCTTTACTCTGTGCTTATGTAAAGATGCAAGACACATTATAGAAAAATGTACTTTCAGGTTTGTTAACCCATTCTATATGTTACCCTTTTGTTTATAGGTAAGTAAATCAACAAGCAAAAAAGATCCTTGACATTTACGAGGGCTGAGCATCATTTATTACGGAAGGCCAAATAACGACTCAATGGCAATAATCTTTTTTGCTTGATGTTTTACTTTTCAAAAAAACAAAATGGATAACATACATACATTGGTTACCTGTATGGTATTATATCTGTTTATACACATAGTAGCAAGTTGTCATTGTTATGGCAACTGTAGTGCCAAACACTAAATCACCCATACTAGTGTTATAGTTTGTCCCAGCCCCTGTCACTAGAGATTTTGTGAAACAGCTTGGGCTGCATGGAAATGTATAGCAAAATATAGAGTCAAAGTAAAAATGGATCATTGCAGGTATTAAGCCCATACAGGTATAACATTACAATATTTTAAAACTTCCATAGACTAGAAATTGCTTCTCATTATCAGCAATGACTATTAAATTAAACACACATAAATAATTAGCAAGCAGGTATTTCCCGCTAGAGTTGTTGTCAAGGACTCCACCCTTTATTAACCTCTTGCCGTCCGCCCGTAGTAAAAAAACGGACGGACATATTTATAAACAATTCTAAGAGCCATTCGGCCTGCGAGTCTCTGTGCATGTTTGCTCTGTGAAAATAGAAAGTCAAGATTCCCTTCAGTTTAATTAATCTACACCATAGCAATCTCTGAAATTATATGCAGTTATACAGCAAGAACATCCATACCTTCAGTTTGCGTCTTGCATTAAACTCTTGCAGTTTCTTTTGAGCAGTGTCCATATGAGCAAAGTTTGCAGCTTTTCCTGTGACCCAGGGGTGCTGCAACGCTTGGAGGGTGGTGAGACGCTTCTTTGGGTCGAACACAATTAACTTTTTCACCTGTAATGAATAAATACAACATTCATAATAAAATATGAGTACCTCCATGTACAGTACTGTGCATTTAACTTACATCTAAATGTGCTCACATGAATCAGGGCCAACAAACTGTATATACACATAAAGCGCCATCTTTACAACTAAAAATTTAGGGTCTCTGCCCTGCCCCTTGAAAAAATTGTTGAGACACCCTAATAAATGCAAACTGCACTCTAAATCTTATGCAGGAATAAACAATGTCTTCAATTTATATATCAGCAAGCAAAGGGTAGATGCATAATTAGCTGTTACAGCCCTCTGATGAGGATTGGCAGGAGTTTGAGGATAATTATAGGGTTTTTATGATATCATCTAAAGACAGAGTTATACAATTAAAAATCTTCCCTCAATTTAATTGTACCCCCATCAAATTACACAAATTGGGCCTGCGCTCTTCCCAGTCATGTTTCCATGGTTATTGAGAAATGGCAGACTTCTTTCACGTCCTATGGACCAGTCCTTGCTTCATTCATATTGGGTCAAGGTGGGTAACTTTATCCCAACCGCTTTAGGGCTGCCTGGTGTGTGCAATCAGAAAGCCTGCCTTCTCTAAGTATATTATACTCTACATGGGTTATTCACAAAGCTGCCGAAGGCAGCCAGATGAATAACCCAGCCGAAGTGAAGTGAGCCAAACAATTTGCGGATCGAAAGGCCAGCCTTCGGCAGGCCATTCACCCCACTTCGGCTATCACTTTGGCTCAGCCGAGCCAAAGCATATGCTTTCGCCTCGGCCGCCTTCAGCTGCTGTACGGGCTATAGTGAATAGTCCGTACAGTCCGTTCCGGCGACCAAAGAGAGCCGAAGGATCAGCCGCAGCTACGGCTGAATCCTTTGGCTCCTATGTGAATAACACCCTAAGTATATTAGAAGATCTACCGTTTTCCAAATATGCAAAATCTCTTTTAGGCATTTTATATTTTTACGCTGTCCTGGAAGAGCCCACATTCCTTGTCTGCATGGAAGCTCTTTGTTTAAATCCAATCTCCTGATCTATAAAGTTACTTATGAGTTTAGAGACAAACCTCAGGAGTTAATCTGGGATCTGTGGATTACATTCACTCATATGCTCTCCTCACTGGAGGACTCTGGGGTTGTATAGCCTAATAATAATATTTGTCTTACTTTGTCGAATATGTTGTTTGCTCAATTACATTTTCTTGTACCTAAGTGGCATTGCTGTATGCGCTAGCATTCACTATTTCACTAATGACACAGAGAAGACTTTTTATTTACTCTTTTTTTTAATTATGTTTGATTTTTATTACATTGTCTGTTATTTGTTAGACATTAAATGCAGTTTAAATATCTATATCTATATATATCTATATATATCAATATATAGATATATATA